CCTGGGATGGATCGTGAATGGGGACCTCCCTGTGTCCCTTGTTGCCGTGGGATGTACGTGCTGAAAAAAATCTCTCGGAGCAGTTAATTAGGGGTGAGATAAGAAAGGGTTTATTTGCCAAGGCAGAAAATGTTACAAGACGAGCGGCCCCCTGTGCCCCAGATGTGACATTTTATAATACCATCTATCCAATCCCAAATGTGTCCACCCTGTGGCCTTTACTCTGAACCGCCCCAGGTCCACCCCGTGAAAAGGGGTCTGGGGTGTATTTTGGGACCCTCTGTTCATCCCATTTTCATCTTCTTCAGAGCACAAAGGGTACATAGTTACCTAATTCTTGACCGTATTCTGTGGTTTAGGCCAAGATACGCTGTTCTGTCAACAATCTAGGCCTTGCCTTGACAAAAGACTAAACATTTCTACTGGATTAGGGGGTAGGAATGATACAGGGAGCATAGAATGGGGTAAGAGGGTTAAGGAATGTGTAAACAAGGGCGCTACAGGGAAAGGGATGTAAGGGAGGGAGTGAGGGTTGCTGCTTTTAGAGTCTACTTCCACTAAACTACTGAAAGTCACTGGACTCCAGGGGTTGCCTCACCATCAGGGGCTTCATTCGGGGTGGAAGCAGTGGCCAAAGCTCTTCCTGCAGTCAGGGCTTCCCTTACAAGTGGGTCCGTTGGTGTTGAGTCAAGCCAGAGCTGTCGGTGAAGCTCTTCCCACACTCCCCACACTTGTAGGGCCTCTCCCCGGTGTGGATGCGCCGGTGGATGACAAGGGTGGAGTTCCGGTTGAAGCCCTTCCCGCAGTCGGTGCAGTGGAAGGCCCACTCCCCTGTGTGTGTTGGCTTGTGCTTCAGGAGATCTGAGATGGTCTGAAACCCCTTCCCACATTCCAAGCACTTGAAGGGCCGTTCCCCGGTATGGATGAGCTGGTGGGAGCGGAGGCTGGAGCTGACCCTGAAGCTTTTCCCACACTCCACACACTTGTAGGGTTGTTCCCCGGTGTGAATGCGACGGTGCACGTGGAGGCTGGACCTGTACCTGAAGCTCTTCCCACACTCGCCACATGTGTGGGGCCGTTCCCCAGTGTGGGGTTGTTCCCCAGTGTGCATGCGTTGGTGGGTGAGGAGGCAGGAACTTTGACTGAAGCTCTTCCCACATTCCCCACACGTGTGGGGCCGTTCCCCGGTGTGGATGTGCTGGTGCCGGATCAGGCTGGAGCAGTAACTGAAGCTCTTCCCACATTGCCCACATGTGTATGGACGTTCCCCAGTGTGGATGTGCTGGTGGGTGAGGAGGGTGGTGCTAGTCCTGAAACCCTTCCCACATTCCCCACACATGTAGGGCTGTTCACCAGTGTGGATGCGCTGGTGTTTGCGGAGGCTGGAGCTTTGGTTGAAGCTCTTCCCACATTCCCTACACAGGTAGGGCCGTTCCCCAGTGTGGATGTGCTGGTGTCGGATCAGGTTGGAGCTCTTCCTGAAGCTCTTCCCACATTCCAAGCACAGGAAGGGCTTCTCCCTGCTGGGAGGCTACTCAGAGCTCCCCCTCAAGCTCCGGCCGCCTTCCCGGCACAGGCTAGTTCTTTCCTCCTCAGAGCACCCTGGGATGGCTTTGGAGCCCCTCCTGCAGGGGGATCTCCGGCCCTTTTCCTCCCCGCTGCCTTCCTGCGCCGGGG